TTGACAACGTCTTGGCTTGATTGCCGAAACTCCCCTCCCTCACTTCCTTCATCGCGATCCCTTGTCCGCCGGTTAGCGATAGACGCTTGATCCAGTTGTCTCCTTTTTGCTGGTCTTGCTCCATTCTTGTTTTCCTCGAGTTTGCTTAAACAGTAGCAAAGTTATCGCTAACTCTACCTTCCTTCAATCTCCTGTTCATTAGATTTTTCTCCCAAAGCATGTCAATGGCCTTCCTAATTTTCCGCTTTCTTGTGTTGTCATCGCATGGGACTCTTCTTTCTGTTGCCTTCCAATTGATCTCGTGTCCAGTCTGTGCGATCTGTTTCGCTAGTTCTGATCTTTCGGTATCCAGTTTCCTGCAGAGCCTTTGATGTTCCTTGATTCGTGTGCTAATTGTTCTTCCTGTTTCGTCAATGTATTTATGTTCGCAGGCGCCGCATGATATTTCATGCCTTTCATGTTGCGTCGGAAGATTTTCAAAAACTCCAGAGCATGACCGACAGGAAATCATGTAGGATTTCTGACCTAATAACAAAATGGCATGACGATAAATTACGTAAATTTTGGATTATAAGGCAGCCTAAGTTAAAGTCAGTACGCCCAGTTGAAGTGGCTTCCGAGATGACAACACCTACAGATCAGCACGAGGATAGGAAGAAAGTATTCAATTTAACATCAATTCCTCTCAATCCCGAAACAACCGCGTTCCTGGAAAAATGACTCAATTTTTCAATTCAACATCACAAAAGCCTTCTAGGAGACATCTTGATGGAGGTTATCAATATCGCTGACCAGTTTCCTGAGGAGACAAAACGGGAAATGGAGATGGAACTAATTCCAAAGCTGTTGACACATCAGGAGCCTACAAACAGGAACAGATTTGTCGTGATACGCAAAAGCCTGGAAACGAATAAACAATTAGTCCTTCAGACGGACAAACGAGGAGCTACAATGATACTGGACAAAAAACAATATACCGAGAAGATGGAACATATTCTACGAGACAGGTCGACATATCAGTTACAAGGACCCACCAATGAAGATCAATGTAATCTAGAGGGCCATGCTGAAAGATATGCATAGGAATAGGGAAATCGACGCATGGACAATAAATTAAGTCATAAGAAAGAATGCACGACCAACAACAGCGTACGGATTACCGAAGATACACAAAGTAGGTGAGCCACTAAGGGCGATTGATAATAACAAGTATGTAGCAACAAACTAATTCACAAAGTTTATATGTTTGAAACTCAAGAACTTAAATGATAGACTATCAAACAATGTGAAAAATTCATATAAATTATCTCAAGAAATCAAAAACTTTGCACTGGAAGAAACTGACTCAAAGGAAAGTTTCGATGTGGAATCCATGTATAGAAATAACTCTGGATAAA